TTCAGTTGCAATGGCCACATGTCCATAGGCATTAGTAGTTACTGGGTCAGTGAGCACAGGTATTGAACAGGTCCATCATTGCAAAGAATTCTACCTGACAACCCAGCTCTAGGTGAGCCCTCCTTCCATCTCACATTTCCCTCCCGGCCTTTTTTCTGCTCGCCAAGCTTATAATTCAAATAAAATAAATGTCACCTCTGACACTGACTCTCTCTTTGACCAAACTTTAGTTAGGCTCTTTCTGAGACCTTTTCTTATCTAGGCCTCAACCTTGGGCTTCTGTGTCTGTCTCTGCCAAGTGCAATTTTACTAAAAACCCTTTAGAGAGAATCCTCCACCTTTGATATCTGATCAATCCCTCACCTGCCTTCAGCAAGAATCCTACCAAGTCAGTTTAGCAACAATCCTACCAAGTCGGTTTAGCAAGAATCCCCCAGGCAGAGGGGTAATTTTTTTTTAAATATATTTTTATTGATTTTTTTAGAGAGAGGTTGGGGGAGAGAGATAGAAACATTGATGTGAGAGAGAAACATTGATTGGCTGCCTCCTGCACAAATCCTACTGGGGATGGAGCCCACAACCTGGGCATGTGCCCTGATCAGGAATGGAACCAGGACCTCTCAGTCCATGGGACAATGCTCAATCCACTGAGCCACACCAGCCAGGTCAGAGGGATAATTTTTTCTCCACTGACCACCCACCCTTCACTTAGATTGATGTCTGTAAATCTCAACTTGTCCTTATTGTATTTGGAGTTGAGCACACTCTCTCTCCCCTATTGTAATGTTCCTACTACAATAGTCTTTTTTTTTTTTAATCCTCACCTGAGGATTTTTTTTTTTTTTTTTTTTGCATTTATCTTCAGATAGAGCGGGAGGGAGAGAGGGAGGAAGAGAGAGAAACATTGATATGAGAGACACATCTAGTGGCTGCCACCCACACGACCCCAATCGGGGCTGGGGACAAACTGTAACCGAGGTACATGTCCTTAGCGGGAACCGAACACGGAACTCTTTGGTCCGCGGGCCGAAGCTCTAACCACTGAGCTAAACTGGCCAGGGCTACAATAGTCTTGAATGAAGTTTTTCTTTCCATTTTAACATGCTTCAGAATAATTTTTTCTTTAATACATCTTTTATGAAACCTTCCTTCTTGCCCCTAGGAAAAATTCTGTGCTATCTTAGTACTGTGTAAATTCCTCTCCTAAAGCCAATATCGTGTGATATTACTCGTTTAACCACTTGTCTTTCCTTATGGATTACTGAAATCTCATGAAAAATATGGTGAGTGCAGTGATTAAGAATGTAGTCAGTGCCCTGGCTGGTGTGGCTTAGTTGGTTGTTGTCCTATACACCAAAAGGTGGCAGGTTCAATTCCTGGTCAGGGCACATACCCAGGTTGTAGTTCATTTTCCAGTTGGGGCACATATGGGGGAGCATGCGGGAGGTAGCTGATGATCAATGCTTCTCTCTCACATCAGTGTTTCTCTCTATCTATCTACCTATCTTTTAAAAAAAATCAATAAAAAAGAGTGCAGTCACTTGAGTCAGAATACTAGGTTCATAGCCTTCTGATGGCACTTATTCACTGTGTGAGCTTGACCAAGTAACTTCATGTCTCTAAGCCTCAATTCTCTCATCTGTCAAATGGGGATAATAAAAGTGCTCTCCTTATAAAGATTAAATGAGATAATCCACTGTACAGGCACAGAGTAAATACCCCCAGTCTTTGTTTGCCATTATAACTAGAAGATAGGAGTGGGAAATTTTCTCTCTAGGTCTGAATATCAAGTCCCATTCTTTCAATATTCTGTTATAAAAGGATTGTACTTGCAGTCTTCCCTTGACACTTCTATTGGAAATAAATCAGACTAATCTTTTTTTAATTCTATGTTGTCAAGTTTAGTTCCCCAAAATATCAACAATTTGCTGCTAAGACAAAAGAAGAACACGACCTCACAGAGCTGTAGTGCTGGCTCAGAGGTGGCAGGACAAGGTCATGGTATTTTTTGGGGGGGGCAATTTTTATTAAGTTATTTTTGTTACAGATGTTTCTCCTTTTTCCCCCATTGACACCCTCCTCCTGACCTACCCCCCCCCCCCCCGCATTGTTGTCTGTGTCCATTGGTCACACATACATGCATATAAGTTCTGTGGTTTATCTCTTCCCTCCACCATCCCCCCACCCTCAACCCTTGGTCCCCTCCTCTGGACAGTGAATGCGCACAAAGTCATGGTATTGATTGAGACTTTTTTTCATTGATTTGAGAGAGAGAGATAGAAATATCGACTTGTCATCCCACTTATTTATACATTCATTGGTTGATTCTTGTATGTGCCCTGACCAGGGATCGAACCCACAACCATGGTGTATCGGAACAATGCTCTAACCAACTGAGGTATTGGCCAGGGCTGATTGGAACTTTAAGGTTTAGCTTGGGGTTGGGAGGGGGCACAGGACAGGAGTTGATTAAGAATTGGTACGGTCATGATATAATAGTTTAGGATTGGTGGACACTGCAAAGCAAAGAGTTTGAGACCAGGGGTCCTAAGAGTCTTGGAATGTACAGAACTGTCATGTAATGTTTTCTATTGAAGAATTGATGGTTCTCTTAGAAAGCTTGTAAAAGGAACAATAAATGTATCTACATTTTTAATTACCAGGCAAGAGTGTCATAAAATATTTGTGTTAATGTAGACAGTAAGCTGTGTGAGTGTAGGAGGTGTCACTTCTCAGTGATTTTTTAAAAGCTAATAAGTAAAATTAAAGAAAATGTATCCAGGATACTGACAGCACTTATCCCGGCAGACAGAGTTTAAAATGAAAGCGTAGCCCTGGCTGGTTTCGCTCAGCAGTGAGAGCACTGGCCTGCGAACCAGAGGGTTCCAGGTTCGGTTCCTGCTAAGGGCATGTACCTCGGTTGCAGTTTGTCCCCAGCCCCGGTTGGGGTCGTGTGGGTGGCAACCAGTCGATGCGTCTCTCTCATATCGATATTTTCTTTCTCTCCCTCCCACTCTGTCTGAAGATAAATATAAAAATGTACTCGGGCAAGGATAAAAGAAAATAATAATAAATAAATAAAGTAAAGTGAAAGAGTATTATTTTGGTAACTCAGAAGGTGATTTAAACTTTCAACAGAAGCCCCACTCCCTTGTTTACTTATTTCTCACCATCCATTCACCTCATTGAATGTCACCTGTCTTGTGAGAAGGCAGAATTAGGAATGCTCAATCTCCTGCCTGAAACCTAAAGTGACTTCAGGGGCATAACTTCTCTGGTTAGATGACAGAAAGTTTCTTTCCAGATTTAGACAGACGCTACTCCTTGAAGGAGGGACACTTCTGAATTTAACCCTTCACAGATAGCATGTACAGTGTTAAAGAAATAACTATTCCGACACTTGTTAAAATGGTAAGAAAGACTTTATCCAGGACTACTGCAAATAGGAACATTACAATAGGGGGAAAAGATTATACTCAATTCCAAATATAACAAGGAAAAGTGGGTAAAAAATTATTGAAAGGAGCCCTTGCCAGTTAGCTCAGTTGGTTAGAGCAACATCCCGATAGTCCTGATACACCAATGTTGCCAGTCCCATCACTGATCAGGGCACATACAAGAATCAACCAATGAGCCCTGGCCAGTTTGGCTCAGCGGTTGAGCGTTGGCCTGTGGACCAGAGAATCCCGGGTTCGGTTCCCGCTAGGGGCACGTACCACACACACACACACACACACACACACACACACACACACAAAAGAATCAACCAATGAGTGCATAAATAAGTGGAACAATAAATGGATGTTTTTCTTTTCCTTCCTCTCTCTCTCTAAAATTAATAAATAAAAATTTTAATATAAAAAAAATTACTAAAAGAGACACCAAGGGTAGGAGGGATTCTTGCTAAGCTAGTTTAGGATTCTTGCTGAAGGTAGGCCAGAGATTGTTCAGATATCAAGAATGGAAATTCTCTCTAAGGTAACTTAGCAGGATTCTTTCTCAGTTTATTCTTACAGCAGTTGGGAAGAGGACTACCTCAACAGAGTTAATGCTAAATAATAATTTCTTTATAGGAAGAAAATGATGCCCACCCCCAATGGCTCAGTGGGTTGAACATCGTCCTCTATACCAAAGAATTGCCAATTCAATTCCCAGTCAGGGCACATACAGAAGGCAAAATGGATGTTTTCTCTCACATCGATGTTTCTCTCTCTCTCTCTCTGTCTTCCTCTCTCTAAGCATGTCTGTAGGTGAGGATTAAAAAGAAGAAGAGCCCTGGCCGGTTTGGCTCAGCGGTTAGAGCATCGGCCTGCGGTCCGGAGAGACCCAGGTTCGGTTCCCGCTAAGGGCACGTACTTCGGTTGCAGTTTGTCCCCGGCCCTGGTTGGTCGTGCGGTGGCAGCCACTCGATGTGTCCCTTCACGTCGATGTTTCTCTCTCTCTGTCTCTTCCTCTCTCTCCCTCCCACTCTATCTGTACAAAAAAAAAAAAAAAGGAAAAATGTCCTCGGGTGAGGATAAAAAAAATAATAATAATAATTTTAAAAAAAAAAGCAAAAAAAAAAAAATAATAAAATAAAATAAAAAGAAGAAGAAATAAAGAGAATGATAAAACACAAAATCTGGTGCACCCAGGGAGACTGTTGAGTCGCCTTTAGGGAGGCGCTATTAAATGCCAGAGGAACTCCCATTTATAAGACTCTTAGTAAAGTGCCATGTGGAGGCAGGAGAAAAATGAAGATGGCTATTCACAGGTATGGAGCTTTCTCATTTAAAATGGAAATAAAGTTTGATTTTTTTTTTTAAGGTAAGTCAACGGTTTGTTTTAGAGGAAGAAATCGTCTCTTTGGGGTGAGACCGCTGAGGACTCCCGGCACCCAGTCACCTGAACACTGCAAGTTCCAGCAAACACTGCGGGGGGCGGGGCCTGCTGACCATTGTGACGTGTGGGCGGGATCAGAAGGGATCAGCTCTCCCCTGGGTTTTTCGCTCCGCCCCTGCTCCCTGCCCCATCCTGTTGCTGTTGTGTCGCTGCCGGCTGCTACCCCTGGTGAGTCCCTGGAGTGAAGGAGGTCAATTAGTGGCAGTTGGGCCCTCGGGTTCCCTACAATCAGACTTATAGTCTTGATAAAGTACTATGAGTGGTAAAGGTGCTACCGGTTTCGGTTTTCACCTCCTTCCATCTTTCTAGGGAGACAGTAAGTGGGAGTGGCGTCAGGGAGCCCCTGGAGCTCTCTCGGCCTTGGAGCGTCAGGGACAGTTTTCTCCCTAGCAAGGCAGGGCTTCAGTGCTTGTGGCCGGGTGGAAAACTCCTTGGGCAGAAGGGTCCCTCTGACGCGAGTGAGGGTCTTGACGTCACGGCATCACACCCCCTCCCTCGGGCGGAGGTCCTAGTGGTTCGTTAACCCTTGTCGTCGATTGCTTGGAGGGGCAGGTGGGCCCTGCAGTCACCCTAGGCAAGTTACTTTCTCTTTGGGCCTCATTTCCCTGTTTATGAGTAGGCTTGATCCCTGACGCTCCCTTCCTTCAGATGGGGCCTCTGTAATTGGAGGAGGCGGTCTAGGCATCCGAGAAGAAGGAGACACTGGAGGGTATGACCTGCTTCTTTACAGCGATCTCCCATAGCCCCTCCCACTGCCACCCTCAGGACAATTCAGTTTGAGGGCTAATGTTCCCACTCACATTGTAATTTCAGCTTCTCCCGGGCTTGTTAACTTTTTTAATCACTTGGATTCTTTGCTCCTGATGCAACAAGTGGCCGCGGTGAGGGCTGAGTGGAAGAATACAGATGCCATACAGTAAATCCTCACTTAACATTGTCATAGGTTCTGCAACTTGAACCCAAACGTATAGGCAAGCCAGTTTTACCAGAGGCTAATAGACTTAAATAAGAGTTAAGTTCCTACAGCACCTCATCTACATTAGAACTAAACGACATTGAACAAGACGACGTTATTTGAGGACCTGTTATATATTATTACTTATCTCCACTATTGCAAAAACCTTCTAAAGCAAAGGACTGCTTATGCAGTAGGTCTTTGTAGATAGTGTAGAGCACATGATTAAGGGACATCCAGGTGACTCACTTTCATGAGTGTTTTCAGAAGGACTCTACCTGAAACTCTACCCTTTAGCAGATATGACAGCTGTGGGGTGGAAAGGACGCTGAGAAAGGTGGTCAGTAAGAGTTCCACAGCACTAACAAGTCGTATTATCTTTCAAGTCTGATAGTACATCTAGGGCTCTTTAAAAAAAATCGACAGTGCTTATTTATTTATTTATTAATACAAAAGGACTTTGCTTTTATTTCAAATATGATAAGGAGGAGAGTGACATTACTCAAAGAGTTTACTTTTAATAATAATCACTTTTTGTGGCAATAATCTTTCCCCCCTAAATAACAACACTGGAATCGGTTTTAGGAAAATATTTAATACATATAAGTATTACCCTATCACACCAGAGTAGTTTCAGTCCAGATGTGTGACATGACAGTGCTTACTGATATAATGCCATGCTTCTTTATTTTCTTAGATGAAAAGAGAGACAGTGAAAATGAACTCTTTTGATTCCTTTTTTTTTTTCTTCCACTCAGGATCATTATTATAGCTAGAAAATTCTAAGAAATTTTCTAGCTTGATCTGTGCATTTTATTGATGAAATTGAGACCTAAAAGGAGGTAGTGTGACTTGGTCACGATCTCAGAGCTTGTTAGTGGCAGAACTAATAAGGTGCCTTGACTCCTAGCCTAGTCCCATTTCCACACACGCCGAACACTATCACTACCCTTGTCACTTCATGGGTTAGCATAGTCATCCCTTTCAGGGAAAAAGTGTAAATCCCAGTAAAGTAAAATAGAGATTTAGTACACAGCTTTGAGCTTTTCACAGTTCTTTCTGGTTGCCTCCACCTCATGTCCCAGAACTATTTTTCTCTTTCCCTAGTTTCTGCTGGCACCGGTGGTATGGGGTGTGGAATGAGGGGCCCACTTAGAAAGAGCTGTACAGCCAATCCAGACAGTTGTTAATGAGTACTATTTAAAGCCTCCTAGGGATATACAATTTTCTAAGGTACTCTGAAAGATTCTAGATAAGGAACTATAATGAACTTGGAAAAATTGAATTATGCAAGTGGCTTAATAATTGAGGACCAGTGACTGTGTCTTTTTTTTTTTTTTTTTCCCAAATCTTTATTGTTGGATGTAGAATGTATTACAGATGTTCCACATTTTTCCCCCATTGACCCCCTCCTCCCCACTCCCGCCCCCCTCCCACCTTTTCCCATACTATTGTCTGTGTCCATTGGTTATGCATATAAGTTCTTTGGTTTATTTCTTCCCACTCCCCCAACCCCTTTCCCTTTGAGGTTTGTCAGTCTAGCAATGAATTTGTGTTTCTTAATCCCTTCACCTTTTTCACCCATTCCCCCAGTCCCCCTCCCAACTGGCAACCAACAAAATGTTCTCTGTATCTATGAGAATGTTTCTGTACTACCTGTTCATTTTGTTTGTAGATTCCATTGTTGATAGATAGTATTCATTGCCATTTTGTTTGTTCATACATTTTATCTTTTTCTTCAAAAAGACCCTTCATCATTTCATATAATAACGGTTTGGTAGTGATGAACTCCTTTAACTTTTTCTTGTCTGGACTTTTGTTTCCTGTCTGAGGTCATCTACAAACCCATTGTATCTATTGTCAGTGTTCTTCTCTAAGGGTATTTCTGTGGAAGCATCTCTTCCTGGGCCAGGGAGGAGTGGGACTCAAATCGGTTCATCCATTTGCTCATTGCTAATCATTTAGAAAGTTATGTAATCAGAAGAATGAAGAAATTAGATTCATGTGGGTTTGGTTTTTATTTGTCTTTGTTTTTACGTTTCCCAAATGCAGAATGGATTTGCATTTCTCTCTTGACTGTGGAGGCATTTGGTTTCCTTCTGTGAACTAATCCAGAGAAACTACTGATAGCTTTCATTTCTCTTGAAACATATGTCTACTACTATGTAAATAGTTGGGCATTTTTTAAGGTAGGATTCTAGTTCTTTTTAATAAAGTTATTTCTTATTTGTGGTTCAGCATACATGAGGAGACATCTTTAGGAAAATTGCTGAGTTGAATATTTGCAGTTAGAATCTGAACCAAGAAGCTTTACAACATTTTTAAATGTTTCTGCTAAAAGCCTATCAGTGTAGTTTACAGATTCACTCACAATAAGCAAAAGTAGAACTGGCTATTGTTCGTTTTCTTCAGGGCACATAAGAGAATCTGCTTGAAAAGCCCATTAGATGAAAATGTGTCAGATTTTCTTAGAAGCCAGGAGCCAGTTCAGGGAACTCATTTTAAAATGCATTGCCTGGCCCTGGCCGGTTTGGCTCAGCGGTTAGAGTGTCGGCCTGCGGTCCTGAGAGACCCGGGTTCGGTTCCCGCTAAGGGCATGTACCTCGGTTGCAGTTTGTCCCCGGCCCTGGTTGGTCGTGCGGGTGGCAGCCACTCGATGTGTCCCTTTCACATCGATGTTTCTCTCTCTCTCTCTCTGTTCCTCTCTCTCCCTCCCACTCTACCTGAACAAAAAATGGAAGAATGTCCTCAGGTGAGGATAAAAAAATAAAAAAATAAAATAAAATAAAATGCATTGCCTGTTGTCACCTCCTCTGAGGACCCTAATTGTTTTGGAAACTGAGCCAAAAAAAAAAAAGTAACAATCATGTTAGAGTCCAAAAGAATGCCTGTGACAATTTGTAGAATCTGTGTTACTTTCCCATGCTTGCTGGTTTGTTTTTTTAAATCCCTGTTTGTGGCCCTGTATGTGACTTGAGGATAGGAGTAAAGAATTGGTGGAATACCATCCCACAATTTCCAGGGGCCCTAATTCATTCCACTGCTTTTTCATGACTCAGTAGCTCTCTGGGCTTCTAAAACTTACTTTTGCTCTTGTATTTCTTCTCCCTTCTTTGCCTCTATGGATATTGCCAGAATTAGAACTGAATGGTGGACAGGTTCAATAGTGGAAAGAGTGGTAAAAGGAGGAGGAAATCGATACGTAAATGGTTCTAATGTCCTTCCACATCCTTCCCACTCCCCTCTACAAAAAGTCATTTCTAGATTGCTTTCTCAGAAAGGTAGCTACCCATTTCTCCCAGGGTTTTTTTTTTTCATCCTCACCCGAGGACATTTTTCCATTTTTTGTACAGATAGAGTGGGAGGGAGAGAAAAAGAGAGAGAAACATTGACGTGAAAGGGACACATCGAGTGGTTGCCACCCGCATGACCAACCAAGGCTGGGGACAAACTGCAACTGAGGTACTCGCCCTTAGCGGGAACTGAACCCGGGTCTCTCTGGACCGCAGGCCGACGCTCTAACCGCTGAGACAAACCGGCCAGGGCTCTCCCAGGGGGTTTTATCAGTGGGAGGGAGAAAGGCTTTAAGGATCACTGACCTAAAAAATGAGTAGAGCTCTGGCTGGTTGTTCAGTGATTACTGCATCAGCCCACACACCAAAGGGTCAAAGATTCAATTCCTGTTCAAGGGCACATGTGGGAGGCAATCAATCAAGGTGTCTCTCTCACATCAATGTTTCTCTCTTTCTCTCCCCCTCCCCCACCTCCTTCCACGTGGCTTTAAAAATCAATGGAAAAAAATCCTCAGGTGAGGATTAACCAAAAAAAAAAACAGTAGATAGATACCTTCCTTCCAGGAACAGTTGAATGAGGTATTCTCACTGGCCCAGCTCAGACTGGCACGGTCATGCTCTAGGTTTGCCCATGGCCTTTCCCATCCTCAGCTTTGGTAAGAAGCAGACAAGGGAAGCAGCCACTGCTCTTTTCTGCTCTGCCTGCCTCCTCAGCTCCTTTCCCAGTCTTGGCAGAGGAGAGTTTTTATTTCAAGAATGATTGAGTTCTGAGGACCTAGAGTGCCATTGGAGCCCTCTGGGTCCTCCTGGGAAGGTGATGAGATCACTGAAATGTGGAACTTCATGAACTCTTCCATTTTTGATAAGCAAGGAACCAAGCCTGTTGTTGACTTTTCCGGACAGATGATTAGGTTTCAGGTGAAAGAAAAGAGATAAAGTGTCCACTGGCTATATACTCAAGCTTTGACATGAGTGTCTGTGTCATTTTGAACATATATGCCGACCTTTCTTCAGTGTCCTTCTGTTCATGAGCTAACATATAAATTGTTTTTCTTAGTAAGGAAAGAGAGGCTGTACCAAGCCTCCACGCCCTTGGCTGGTCTTGTCTTTCATAGTAGCATCCATTTGCAAAGCAGCTTGCCAGAGCTTGAGTATGTGGAAAGTGGGTAATGGACTGTGAATTTTATGGTTCCTTCAGGAAATCAAATCTGTGCCTTCTGTTTTTTTTTTTTTTTGGCATCATGCCACTTGAACCAGCTCTACCAGCTGAACCAACCATACCAAGAATTGATGCAGCACTTGGAGATTATCATCTCCTTACCCTATTTTAGAAAAGAGAAAGCTGGGAAACAGCCACTTCTCCAAGGGTATCCAACAAATTAAGAGCAGAACTAAAAAAAAAAAAGAATTGGTCCCACCACCAGTCACACCACTGTTTACCTAGAGTCCTTTTCTTTCATTTTTTGAAGAATTACATACATATCTTATAAAGTCATTTATTCAGTGAATACTCAATCAGCAATCACCACAGCTAGGCATTATGTTGTGTATACAATGGTGATCGTGTTATAAAGGACAAGAACAGGGAGTATGGTCCTTAGGTTCACTGAAGTCCTAAAGTCACTCTTACCTGAGTGTTCTTCAGATCCTTAGTCAAAGGACAGATTAAGTTATTTTACATGCTCAGATGAAATGGTGCTCCAGGCTCAGGACAGAGGGGATATGCTCAGGACCTTAGGGAAGATAGGGGTCAAAGGCTGAAAAACCTTCCTGCTCTCCCTCCCCAAACATCTAAGAGCTCACACAGGCAACAGCTTATGGTAAGGAACAAGTCTTTCTAGACTGCAATGTGATCTCTCTCCCTTAGAAAAACTGATCTGAGGTTTGAGGTTGAGGATGTGGTTAAACTGTGTCACAAACCAGAAAGCCAATACATTTTTTTTCCCCCTTAGTTAATAAAGTCAGTCCCAGGAATAAGTAGTCCAGTGCCTCAAAGTTCCCTTGCCTTTTCTCTGAAAAAACTGGCTTCTGGAGGGAGTTGGAAGAGGCCTGGTTGCTTCGAGTTCAAAATAAAACCAGGAAATAAATTGGGTGGGGCAGGGCTAGAAGAACTACTGTGTTGTTTTTTTTTGTTTTTCATTGTACTTATTTTAAATTATGTGTATGCATGTATACAATCTTCCAACATGTTCCAACAGCTGAATTTGTAAGGGATCATGCAGTGTTTGCATAAGCACAGCTCTTTCTCATCTACTGTGCAGAGCTGTAATACTGTTTTCATTTCCCAGTGAAATTCTGGGTTGAGAATCATGGACTCACTACCTGTTAGACCAGGAAGGCCTTTAGAAGTTGGGGCATGTAACTTTTGAGGGGTAGGAAGTATCAAGTCTCAACAATTCAAAAGACTGTTTGTTTCTTTTATGTGTTATTTTTACCTCCCAAATTGTTTCCCATCCTTGATCACATTTTATCTGTACTGAGACCTAGAAAGTGTATTATCCCCATTTTATAGATAGGAATTCAGACTCGCTTGCTGTCCTCCAAACATGGGCTGCATTTTCCTGTTTCTTTGCTTTTATGTGTGCTGTTTCATCCCTGGACTTGCCTCACCCCAAACCCATTTGTCAAAATCATAATCTTCTTTGAGGGGCTTACCTAGGATTCTACTTACTCCCCGAAATTTTCTTTGTTTTCTAACTAGTCGCATCTCGCCCTCTTTTGAATCTAAGATATTTTGTATTTAAACCATCCATTTGGCTGTCCCTTGTTTACTCATCTAACTTCCATATTGGGTTGGGACCCATTTTGAAGGCAAACACTGTGTCAGGAGGAAAAAAAACCCATGACAATAGTAATACTAACATCTGTTAAACCTTTCTTTGTGTAAACTATGTGCTAAGTACTTTACTCTGTCATTCAACACGTCTACCTTGTGTGAAGTGCCTACTCTATGGCAAGTACTGATTTCAGGACTGGACACTTTACATTATTTAAATTCATGGTCACATAAAACTGAATGAGGTAGATGTGATTAGCCCCATTTTACAGATTAGGAAACAGGTGTAGAGACCAGTTGATGAAGTAAATTGCCCAAGGTCATGCATTTAATAGGTGGTGAAGCTGGAATTTGAATTCCACCATTCTGATTTCAGAGCCCACACTTGTCACCATCGCATGTCACATAGTCTCCTCTCATTCCTGTCTTTCTTCCTGCACCCAGCCCCAGCTCCCAGCAGAGTGCCTTACTATATGGAAGGGCCTGACGATTTCGGGATAGTAAATGGAATTGAACGGAGAAGTTGAAATCTAGAGAAATTGTTCTTCCGAAAGTCACAGGGCTTATTGGGATGAAAAATCTAGAATCTACATCTTACAATTCCAAGCTCAGGCTCCTCTCCTCCAGGCTGCCTTACTTATTTGAGGCATTTAGAAGAATGTGAACAAACTGGCCACGAGCAAAGAATAAGGGTGCCTGTGGTGAAGATGCCAAAGATATTCTTGGAAAATTCCTAGCATAGAAAGCTAGGAATCCAGAATGGGTCATAGTGAAACCGAAAGCAAGTTATATGATCTCAGTACTAGTCAGGCCTTTTTTGCTTTTCCTGACTTGTCTCGAACAGAATGTTCCCTGGATGAGAGCCCAGAAATGTCCACCATTTCAGGCCATCCTTTCTGAGCCTTGTTCTATCTCATATCTCATAACAGGACCCACCATGGAAGAGACACTAGAAGACCCCCCCACATCAGCTGTCTTGCTGGATCATTGCCATTTCTCTCAGGTCATCTTTAACAGTGTGGAGAAGTTCTACGTTCCCGGAGGTGATATCATTTGCTATTACACCCTCACCCAGCATTTCGTTCCCCGTCGAAAGGACTGGATTGGAATCTTTAGAGTAAGTAGTTAATTTAGTACCAAGTGACTGGAAACTAGAGGTGAATCTTCATTACTGTGTATTATAAACATTTTGCATGTTATGTCGGGCCTATTTTGAAGTCCTAAACTAAGCCCCGCTGGTGTGGCTCGGTGGTTGAGCGTCGACCTACGCACCAAGAGGTCACCAGTTCAATTCCCGGTCAGGGCACATGTTCAGGTTGTGGGCCTGATCCCCAGTGGGGGGCATGCAGGAGGTGGCCAGTTGATGTTCTCTCTCATCTATGTTTCCATCTCTCCCTGCTTTTCCCTTCCTCTCTCTCTAAAATCAATAAAGAAAAAAAAAATTTTTTTTAATAAATAAATAAAGTCCGAAACTAAGCTCCCTGCAGCACTTCTCCCTTCACATGCCAACATGTGCTGTGGGACTTGAGCAAAAATAAGATGGCAAATTATACAATCCCCATTTATTATGCTTTCAAAGACCAAATGTAAATTTTTTTTAATAATCCTATTTTGAAGTGCTCATCTGTGACTTGCTGAGATGATTGTCCCCTTACATAATTTCTGTGACTTTACACTTTCTTTTCCTACTATATAGAGTGTTTAATTTGTTTTAGTATAAAAAATCTGGAAAGGCTGTTGAGAAGTGACCTGGTTTGAATCCTGCATCCAAGAGGTTTGTTCCTGAATGAGTGTGTCTTACTCCTTTGTCAAAATTTTCAAGAACAGAAGGTTTATGAGCTCCCTCACAGACCTCCTCTAATGTCTGATCACCCTGTCAGTTCAAGTACAGAAATTGTACTTTTTTATTACGGTCAACTTACTCTCAGTCTCAGCTTCTCCTCTCATCTGTGTCTTTCTCTGTCACACACACCATAATGACAAATCTTCCTATTTGCATAAATAGGAAATAAAGGTCAAGTTTAAGTAATTTATACTACTGAGTTCCAGCGTCTGTGACCTTTGTTTTGACACCTCAGTATGTCATTTGCTTGTTTGCCAATGCTGTTCATCGTGAACTCAGACATCATTCTTGACTGCACTGTGAAGGAGCTGGTTCTTATTTGCATCCCTCATTAAGTTACTTTTCCTTAATTGTTTGAAATTCCAACCTAATGGCTGCAGCCATGGCAGCTGGTGTTTCAAGGCAGGGACAGACAACCAGAGGGACACTGGCAGGTAGCATGACAACTCCTGAGACTGCAAGGATGCTTAAACATTAAACCAAAAGATGTCCTAACACAGAAACCTTCCCCACAGGTAGCAACACTGTCCAGTAGAACTTACTGCGATAGTGCTGTACCTTCAGTGTCCAGTATAGTAACCTCTAGCCACATGTGGCTACTGATCACTTAAAATGTGGTTAGTATGGCTGACTAACTGGATTTTAATTTTAACTAATTTAAAATGAAATAGCCTTATGTGGCTAATGGCTATCATATTGGATGGTGCAGGTATAGATAATAAAAAAGAGGAGGATTTGCCTTGCCGTTGTGGCTCAGTGGTTGAGTGTCGACCCATGCACCAAGAGTTCACTGGTTCGATTCCCAGTCAAAATACATGCCCAGGTTGTGGGCCCAATCCCCAGTGGGGGGCATGCAGGAGGCGGCCAATCGATGTTCTCTCTCATCGATGTTTCTATCTCTCTTTCTCTTGCTCTAAAATCAATAAAGAAAAAAATTTTTTTTAATAAAAATAAAAAAGAGGATTCAAAAAGTATTAGAGTTTGTAGTGTAATTTGTAACTTTTTTGTTGTTTCTGTTTAGCTTATGCTGGTTGTATTCCCCAAGAACTTAGCAACTCCCAGTGAGGACTAGCCCATAAACAAAGTAAAAGTCAAACTTTCTAGACACAAATGTTTAAAAACATTTTTTTTTTAATCCTCACCCGAGGACGTTTTTGTATTTATCTTCAGATAGAATGGGAGGGAGAGAGAGGGGAAAAGAGAGAGAGAAACATCGATGTGAGAGAGAGACATCGGATGGTTGCCACCCACACGACCCCAACCAGGGCTGGGGACAAACTGCAACCGAGGTACATGCCCTTAGTGGGAACCGAACCCAGGACTCTCTGGTCCACGGGCTGATGCTCTAACTGTTGAGCCAAACCGTCCAGGAGCTAAAAACATTTTAAAAAATGCATCTACATTTGAAATGCTTCATACATTTCAGAGGTATTGCTGTCTCTCAATAAGGAAATGGTTAATCCAAAGAATGACTTCTAATGTTTATTGTCCATAAAGCTATTGATTTGAACACCTATCCTGACGCCTGAAAGTTCTAAGACTAACAGAGAAAGAGCACAAACTTTTTGAGAATACACAGTGTGCTAGGCCTTTGATGAGGTTGTGTGCATGTGTGTTCTAATTTAATCCTAACAGCACAGCAGCCCCCTGATGTAAGTAGTATTATCTCTGTGCACAGATGAATACAATGAATATACTCAAGATAGTGACTTTCCCAAGGTCTTCCAGTGAGTAAGGGGTAAAGCAAGTTTGTTGACATCCAAACCCCTGCTCCTCCTCTGTTCCTTTGAACAACAGACGGTAAATTAGAGGATTAAAAGTTGACTGTAAAGTTTTGTCTTTTGTATCTCACTTCTAAAGCTCTCCCAGTATTCTCTCAGTGCATTCGTAGTCATATTCCTCAAGTCACTCAACCCTAACACTGGTACTTCCTGGCACCAAGCAGGCACTCGTGAAATGTTTTTGAATGTGCAGTATGCTACATCATCTCAGCAGAGCAAAAGCTACCACCAGTGATCGAGCCTAAAGCGGGTGGGAGTCAGCTTTCCTCCCTTCAGCGTATAGCCCTGTGCTCCGTACCTCGTTCCAAGGCAGCAGTAATTCTTAGGCTTTTCCAGATGATATTTTGGTCACAGTACATTAAGAAACTCCAGGATGTGAATGAAGGCTCCATAAAAGTCCTGCTCCCTGCCCCACCGCATGCTGCAGTGGCTCCGAGCTGCTGACAGCGGTGGGGTGTGTACTAACGAGACACTGCCACATCCCCGTGTGTTCTGATGAGCTTTCGGTGTAGCCTTTTCGACCCTGCTCCAGTTCCTTAATATATACAAATGGAATTTATTTTTAGTTCTCTTCCTTCCCACTGGGCTCAGGCAGAGTCAAAATGTGGCAATAAATGTAATTTCACTTCTCATTTGCTGAGTGTTCTCCCCTTGAAGACACAATGGCCCCCTCTCTATTCTCTGGTGTGCTCTTATCTTCCAGATACGATCTGAACCGTTTTTTACTCCTCTTCACAGTTAATGAGAATATTCTCCACTTAGCCAGCTGTCTGCTCCGAGCATATTTTACAGTACCCTTATATCTTGTGACTTATTGCGTTCAATACCTAGAAGAGGCCTTTATGACTACCAGATTGTTGTTATTTTTAGCACCAAAAAAGCCTTCAGTAAGTGTGTGTTAAGAAAAACACTGAAGAAAAGACTGGACTCAGTTATCTGGTGCCTTATAATCTAAAGGGGCCTCTTGCGCCTCCACCCCCAACATGTACATTATTCAAAAAATACTTTTTTTAAAAAAGGCGGTAGTATAACCAGGTTGGTATAGGTGATAAGACTGAACTAGTCACAGGCGCGGACAGACCAAGGGAGAGGGCAGATCAAAAGTGCTTTCTGATTAAGAAGTTCGGAGAATAACTTTGAAGAAGATGCAGGATCAAGGTTCATAGTCCTAGAGCTTTTTCCAGTCACTTTCGGTTCTGTGTCTGACCTGGAGATGCAGTGTTTGGAACCCTTGTCCTGGATGTTGAGTGGCCAGCTTTTGTTTCCTTCATAGACAGCTGTTTTGGCGCCAGTTTTTAGTTGTATTAGACATTTTACAACAAATGGTTGTTATACGTCAAAAAACAAGATTTGGTCCGTGGTTAGTGGATCTTGTCATAATGAACTCGTTCTATTATCTTTTCAGCATAAATAAAAAGTAAGTAAATTTTGAGAAGACATAGCCCAAATGAGGCTTTTCCCCTGAGCACTTTCAGATGCTGAACGAGAGCCTCTTGTCATTGCAGGTGGGATGGAAGACAACCCGTGAGTATTACACCTTCATGTGGGTTACTTTGCCCAGTGACCTAAACAGCAAATCGACTGAACAGCAGGAAGTCCAATTCAAAGGTAAGAAAAATACTGGCTCAAAGGTGTGGAAGACAGTTAGCAGCCATGACTAATTTGTTTCCTTGAGCTTATACTTTCTGGAAGCAGATAAAAGACTTCCAGATTTTTAGTTTTCTGGATAGACCTGATTTTGGATTACAAATCATATTGTGTTTTCAGCTTATTACCTGCCCAAGGATGATGAGTATTACCAGTTCTGCTATGTGGATCAGGATGGTGTGGTCCGGGGAGCAAGTATCCCTTTCCAGTTCCGTCCAGAAAATGAGGAGGACATCCTGGTTGTTACCACACAGGTCTGTTAACATCTCACCTCCATCCCTTCCTGCCAGTAAGAGTAGCAATTCCAGGATAGGGTGGAATTTGTGTCAAGAAGCCTTTATTGAATGTCTAACAGATACTATTGAGAATTTATACAATACTCACTCAGACCCACTTCAGAATGTCTTAGGAGTGTTAACAAGAACCATCAGTGATTTCTCCTTTCTCTAAAGCTACTATAACTCAGTTGACATTCAGTTAGTTCCTTAATTTTTCCAGTTACTTAATTTTTGTCATTTGTACATTTTAACATCATAGTAAATTGATAAGCTCCTTTGAGGAGAGAGACACCAAATATTCTTCTTCTATCTCTCAGTTCTGACATAGAGCCTGTCATGCATGAGTATTAGATTCATTAACTTACTCAGTTACTTAACAGGATAACTACTGTCCATCCAGCACAATGGTAGGCACTAGGGATGCAATGAAGAAGCAATTAAAACACTGCCCCTGGCCTCAAGGAGCTAAGTCCATAAGAGACAAACAATACTAAGTGTTTGCAAGGAGATTCTACATTCTCCTGTCATTCCCCCTTTTCACTTTTTTGGCCTTAGTTTTGTTTATCTTTCTTCTTGGTAAGGGCAGGCTCAGTGCTACAGTTTATACAGACATACCTCTATTACTATCTTCCTTACATACTGAGGGGCTACTCCCATTTGGAGTAGACAGATGTCACTGCAATGCATGGGAATCAGCCAGATCCTCACTAGCCCAGGCTATGGGAATTTTCTGTTAGAGGGATTTGAATATTCATTGAGCTATAAAGGGTCAAATAAGAGTTTATGGGATGCTCTTTCACAGGGTGAGGTGGAAGAAATTAAGCAGCACAACAGTGAGCTTTGCAAAGAAAACCAGGAGCTGAAGGACAGCTGTGTCAGCCTCCAGAAGCAGAACTCAGACATGCAGGCTGAGCTCCAAAAGAAGCAGGTATGGCTGCTGGTTAAAGGTGAATTTGGAGTATGGAGATCAGAATTGGATGGTGCCTCTTAGCCAGCACCATTTTCTGTTTTGCTTGAGATCTCACTCCCTTATATTTATATCTTTGAATAGGCACCGTGTTAAAAATTTTATGTGAATTATTTTATTTAAACTTCATGGCAAACCTTTGGACTATATACTATTATTATCCCAATTTTATAGATGAGTTGCCTGAGGCTTTAATGGGGTTAACTAATCTCTTATACAACTAATCAGTGATGGAGCCAAGATTCAGACCCTGGCAGTCTGACTACTTCTTCCCATTGCCTATTTATAATTCAAAAGAATTTGCTTTGATTAACTAGAATGTGGGCATTAAGAGACAAGACAGTAATAAGGTGAGGTTGTGAGTTATCCAAACTCTTTTTTTTTTCTATCCTCACCCAAGGACACTTTTGCATTTATCCTCAGATAGAGCAGGAGGGAGAGGGGGAGGAAGAGAGAGAGAGAAGCATTGATGTGAGATAGACACATTGACTGGCTGCCACCCACATGACCCCAACTAGGGCCAGGGACAAACCGCAACCAAGGTACGTGCCTTTAGCGGGAAGCAAACCCACAACTCTCTGGTCTGCGGGCCGACGCTCTAACGGCTGAGCCAAACTGGCCAGGGCTTTTAAAAAAATTTTTTATTGATTTTAGAGAGAGAGGAAATGAGAGAGAGAGAGGGATAGAAACATCGATGAGAGAGAACATCAGTTGGCCTCCTCCTGCACGCTTCTCATTGGGGATTTGGCCCACAACCTGGGCATGTGTCCTGCCTGGGAATTGAGCCAGCAACCTCTTGGTGCGTGGGTCGACCCTCAACCACTGAGCCACACCAGCCAGGCGAGTTATCCAAACTCTTTGCAACTGCTCTTCAAATCAGCAGGTGGTGAGTGAGAGTTGATAAAGCTAGAAGCTGAAGTGAAGAGTTATCTCTAAAGACTGTAAACTAATTACACCGAGGTCATAGCTTGGAAGTTTCCAGAACACACAGACCATAGCAATCACCACCTATGAAGAAAGCCCTTGATCCACAGGTGAGGAAACTGAGGCCCAGAGGAGAGGGGAAGCTTAGTGATCACACTGGGTTAGGACTCACTTCTCTTGACTCCCAGACAGTGCTCTGTTCTCTACAGCTTGCTGTCACTCAAGTGCCTGAGATGTCCTCGGCCCTAGGTTGATGAATAGGAGTGTAGGTGACAGGTCCAGGCTGCAGACTTGGCCTGTTCCAAGCAGTGAGAGAACAGACAGAGGTGGCATAAGTATAACTCACCACTGGGCTGTCAAGAGCCAGCATCCGGCCAGGAGCCTTACAGCCTATCTGCCAGGTTCTAGCCAAGGAATCGGAGGCTCTGGGTTCTTGGGTTAGCTTACCTACATACTTGCTACCAGTCATTATAATGAAAACAAAAGCCAATATTTATTCAGCACCTACTCTGTGCCAGGCACTATAATTAAGCACATTGCTTAACTTAATTCTTAAAACAGACCCGAAGCTCAGAGAGGTTAATTGACTTGCTCAATGTCACAGTTTGTGGCTTTGGAACAAGCTGGGATTTAAACTCAGATATTTTTAATGTTAAAAATCCTATATCTTAGAGACAGGATCATGCAGTGGTTAGGAACCTTGTCTTTGGAGTCACACAGGCTAGTTCTCCCACTTACTGTTTGATGAGCCAGAAGAAATTTCTTAACATCTCTGATGAACCTCGGTTTCCCTCCTTATAAAAAGAGGGTTGATAATACCTGTTTCTTCAAAGAGATACTAGTACCCATGTCCATAACAGCATTTTTGGCCATAGCCAAAGAGGGGAGGCAGCCCAGGTATCCAGTGATGGATAGATGGATAGACATGCCGTGGCATGTACATACAATGGAATATTGTTCAGCTTTAAAAGGGAACAAAATTCTGACACATGCTGTAACGTGGATTACCTGGACATTATGCTGAGTAACATGGGTCAGACATGGAGAGATGGATACCATATGATTCCACTTACATAAGGCACTTAGAGTAGTCAGCTTCATAGAGACAGAAAGTAGAATGGTGGTTGCCAGGAGCTGGAGAGGGGGGAAATGGAGAGTCAGGATTTAATGGGTCCAGAGCTTCAGTTTGCAATATGAAAAAGTTGTGGAGATGGATGTACAACAATGTGAATTTTTTGTTGTTTGTTTGTTTGTTTGTTTATAACTTTATTTTATTTATTTATTTTTAGAGAGGGAGAAGGAGAGAGGGAGAGAGAGAAACATCGATGAGAGAGAACATCAACTGGCCGTCTACTGCATGCCCCGCACTGGGGATGGGCCCACAATCTGGGCATGTGCCTTGACTGGGAATTAAACCAGCGACCTCTTGGTACATGGTCAGTGCTCAACCACTGTGCCACACCAGCTGGGCTGAATGTTCTTTATGCCGTTGAACTGTACACTCAAAATGGTTAAGACAGTAAATTTTATGTTATGTTACTACGGTTTTTTAAATAGAAAAAAAAAAGGTTTAAGAAAAATCTATAAAATGTTTTACATCTTGGAGCTAAAAGCAGATAGTTGTTATTTACACACAAGAATTGATTCAGTTCAGGATGAAATTGAGAAAGAAAAAGAAATGTTTAGGACAAATATGGTGGGCACTAGCCACATGTGAAATGTGGTATATTTGATATGCTATAAGCATAATATATATACTGGATTTTGAAGACTTAGTCTGAAAAAAAGGAAAACTTTTTAATTGTTTACATATTGAAACAATATTTTAGATATATTGGGTTCAATGTACTATTAGTAAAATTAATTTCATGTTTCTTTTTACTTTAATGTGACTACTAACATTTTTTAATTACATATGTGGCTTTCTGAATTTATTGGACAGAACATTCCTAGGAGAAAAGCAACTTTATTTTATCCACTGCTGTGTCTGCAATGCTGGAAAAGTAACTGGTGTGTAATAGGAGCTCATTAAATATTTGTTTAATGAATTAATGGGCAAATATATGCTCCAGTGCGAGAGAAATTAAAGTAGATACATTTTTAATATGGAAAGAACATATTAAGAATATCTGAGCCCTGGCCGGTTTGGCTCAGCAGTTAGAGCGTCAGCCTGTGGTCCAGAGAGTCCTGGGTTTGTTCCCCCTAAGGGCATGTACCTCGGTTGCAGTGTGTCCCCAGCCCCTGTTGGGGTCGTGTGGGTGGCAGCCACTTAGTGTGTCTCTCTCACATCAATGTTTCTCTCTCTGTCTTCCTCCCTCTCTCCCTCCCACTCTATCTGAAGATAAATGCAAAAATGTCCTCGCGTGAGGATGAAAAAAAAAGAAGAATATTTGAATATGAAAACCCTTTTACTTGGATATTTCATTCACTGTTGTGTCGTGTTATGCCTGAAATGTGCTCAATAAATATTTGTCAGCTGCCTGAAATACTAAAACTGTCTTAGAAATGGTCTGTCCCTTTGACATTTCCATCCCTAGGAGGAGCTGGAAACCTTGAAGAGCATCAACAAGAAGCTGGAACAGAAAGTGAAAGAGCAGAAGGACCGTTGGGAGGCAGAACTGCTCCAGTGAGTGTGATCCTGGGATGGGAGTGACTGCTGTATTATAGGCACCCGTAGGTCGGCCCAGACTAGATTTCTAGGATTTGTTAGACTTCGTCTTCCTATCATGACATTGATAGGTGTGGTTCTCCCCTTTGAGTCATGAGCTCTTTGATTCTAGGTTAGAGAATTAGTGTCAGAATGGTAAAGAGAAATGACCTGAATTCAAGTATTACCATTAAGTATCAAAATACCTGCGCTTTGAGGTCAGGAAGCCACAACAGGACTGAAGAAGAGACTAGTGGATTGTAAAATAAATCTGCAGGCTTAGGGCCAAGGCTGCCTTAAATCACGTAAGGCCCGGGGGAGCCAGCAGGCATCAGCATGCATTTCACACAGTCATCTCCACCTCCGCAGACTGAAAGAACAAAACCAGAAGATGTCCTCAGAAAATGGGAAGATGGGAGTCAGAGTGGATCAGCTTCAGGTGGGTAATGGCAAATCTTTGCCCAAGTATATTTTCTTAGTTTTGCCACCACAACTCTGGTGGCCCAGGAAGATGCATTTCATTGTAGTGAACGCCTAATGGGTACCTTTCAAAGCATCAGACTAAAGTTTCAGAGTATGTTTTCTATTCTTAACACCCCTCCCTCTACCACCACCCTTTTTTATAGTCCCAGTCCACAGGAACTGAATAGTTTGTTTAGTTTATATTTATAATGTGCTCCTAAGAAGGATGACTGTCATCTATATCAATGGTTGTCAAACATTTTTCTTTTAACTACAAAATCTTTTCAAGCAAAATCTTACTCAGAAGCCTGGAATATAAAGCAGATATCAGAACTCTCTTTTTAGGAAGCTGTGCCTTAAAGAAGGGCTTTATTTTATTGATTGCTTTTATGTTACTTATTTATTTAAAAAAAATTTTTTTTCCTTTATTGATTTTAGAGAGAGGGGAAGGGAGAGGGAGAGAGAGATAGAAATATCGATGAGAGAGAACATTGACTGGCCACCTTCTGCATGTCCCCACTGAGAATTTGGCCCACAACCTGGGCATGTGTCCTGACTGGGAATCGACCTGGCTACCTCTTGGTGCATGGGTCCATACTCAACCACTGAGCCACACCAGCCGGGCAAGGCTTTAAAGAGTAGTTTGTCAAGTTTTACTCAGTTGAGTCTTAGATTCTCGGGGTGCAAGGTAGAGCTGAAAAGCGAAGAAGTCCCAAAGGAGATTTGGCAGTTGGAGGTTGTTATGCAACACACATTTCTTTATGTTACTGCACATTAAAAAGCATTATTCCTAGTTAGTTTTTCTTCTTTTATATCTTGGTTGTATTTGCTCTTTTTGCTTTAGGCCCAGCTGTCAACTCAAGAAAAAGAAATGGAGAAGCTTGTTCAGAGAGATCAAGATAAGACAGAGAAGTTGGAATATCTGAAAAAGGAAAATGGCCAGCTCTTTGTCAGTTTAACTGAAGAGGTAGAGTCATGAAAGAAAATAATATTTTTTGTCATTTAGGAGAAAATATATACATTGTTCTTTCTTCTCTTTATCATGTACCTGGATATCACTGGCTCTCAGAGGAAGCCATCTGAAATGTGGTATCTCATGGCTGTTCTCAGAAACTAATAAGAGAAGACTTGCTTCTCTCTCTGCATCCTGCTTGCTCATTAGCTGGGCAGGCCGTTCCCGCGTGCGTGCATGCGTGCGTGTTTCTAACAGTGGTACTGAAATCTGTTTTTGTGCAGAGGGAGCACCAGCAGAAGCTCAAGCAGACACTGGAAGATCTAAAGCAGAAAGAAGCTACTGCAATGAAGAAAGAGCAAGAGTTAATGGCATGTCTGTCTTTGGCTGGCTATGTGGGAGGGAGCCTACAGAAAGGAAGGGGTAGGGTCTATACTCAGGTGATGGACAGGATAAATGAGGCGGATGAGAATAGCACTTACCTCTGGACATTTTGCATTCTACACAGAATAGAGAATTTTCCATGTACAAAATGTTTAAGAGAGGTAGGTATTTCTAATGTGTGATGAGTGATAAAAGAACATTGGGCCTCGCTGGTGTGGCTCAGTGGATTGAGCGTCGTCCCATGGACTGAGGTCCTGGTTGGATTCCTGGTCAGGGCACGTATCTGGGTTGCAGGCTCTGTCCCCTGTGGGGAGCATGCAGGAGGCAGCCAATCAAAGTTTCTCTCTCACATTGATGTTTCTATCTCTTTCTGCCTTTCTTTCTTAAAAAAAAATCAATAAAAACATATTTAAGAAGAAAAAGGAAGTGCCCTGACCAGTTTTTCTCAGTGGTTAGAGCCTTGACCCATGGACCAAAGGGTCGAGGACTTGATTCTCAGTCAGGGGCACATACCTGGGTTGCAGGTTCAATTCCCGGCCCCAGTCAGGGTAGTGTGGAAAGTGACCAATCAATGTGTCTCTCTCACATCATTGTCTCTCTTTCTCTGCCTCCCTCCCTCTGACTCTATCAAAACATCAATGGAAAAATATCCTTGGGTGAGGATTAACAACAACAAAAAAGAATATTGGAAGTTAAGCCTCATGACAGGTTGTAGTAGTAAATAGAGTCTTGGGCTAGGAACCCCTTCTTAAAGTGTTATTGCGTAGGCATCAAATGATTATAAAGTTGAGCTCTACTACTGGAAAATATTATAGCAGTCAAAAATTTTGTTACAATTAATATAACATTAGCAGTAGTGATCATTAATTATTCTGAGCTATAGTAAAATGGTAATGATAGCCTAACTGACTAATAATTTTCTATAATATATTGTTGGGAAGGAGGCCTCGTGATGATGACAGGTGCCTAGGGAGCCCCATTTTCTGAATTGATATAAGAGCATGAGAAATCTTGATGTCTGGAGCTATCCAATTACTAGGTTTGTAACTCATATGATACATACATCATTCAGTCAGTCATTATTCAGTCAATTATTGAGTATCTACTATATATAAAATACTGTATATTTTAGCCTAATATAATAAAGAGTAGAACAAAGTTTGTAAGTCACTAGCTCATAGGTTAAGTTTAGCCCACAGAAATGTTGTATTTGGCCCAGATGGTGCTTTTTAAAAAACTGAATTAATTATCAATACTTAAAATTGGGAATATTTCCCATTAAAAATTATATTCCATCTTCTATTGAAAAATGAGAGGATCTGAGCCCAATCTGGAGCTGAGTAGCTGCTGCACCCTTTAGGTGGGTCACGTGTTCTCCACTTGTCTGCTGTCTTCACTGTTTCATTGCATTCAGCTCCCTCATTCAATTATATTACTTGCTTGGCTCCTCTCGATAGACATATTTGAGTTTGTGGCCTCTTAATGTAGCAAAGTGTTTTAAATAATCTGGAGAGGTTTGAATCTTCTCAAGGCAGGTATGAGACTGCTTGATTTTCATGGAGTGATTTGCAAGATCCAGGGGCTCCCTGGCTGATAGCAATTCTTTATTCCTCATGCATCCAAAAGGCCCCTAACTATGAGGACTATGTATCTTATACTTCAGGAGCGTGGGAACAAAAAAACAGCGGTGGAGGAGCAGTTAGTACAAGAGGTGGATCAGCTCAAGGCAAAGGTAGAGGACAGGGAAGCCTGTTTCTTAGAGAAGTACAAAGACAGATCAGGCAACTGAGGGCTGCTGCACTGGTGGTGACAGATAAGGGGCCCAGGAAGCAAGGGTTGCAAAGGTGTTTGGTTCTTAGACAACCCAGAGGATTGTATATCTTATTAAGAAGAGAAATATATCTTTCTGCTAAAAAGAGGAGGGCTAGAGTGTGCAGCCAGAAACCAGCCTGGGAATCCCCAGCAACATAGGCCCCAGCTCAGCCCCTGGTCTCTGGGAAGATTTTTGTAGCCATTGAGCAGGTTTCTGTACACATTCAGAAAGCCCTTTCTTATTTCCGCCTTTTGAGGACGTGAAGTGGGACCAGAAGAGTGAGCAGGAGCCTGCGGTCAGCACTGTCATCGGGTAGCCCCTCTCACGTTACCACCACCTCAGGGTCCGCTAGAAGTGCACAGCAGTTTAGGCACCAACGTTCAAATAAAATATGTTGGCGGAAAAAACACAATTAGTAGGATTAGCATAAGTGTTTTTGTGAGGTATGCAAATGTGCGTGTAGGTAGGTAGGAGATGACAGCTCTGAAGCATCCTAGGAGTTTGGGTTCATGAAACTAATCAGGTCAACCTATCATGCTGGGAAGCCCAAGATCCCAGTGGGGGCTCCGGGTAGCCTTGGATAATGCCTTCCAGGGTTCTTTCTGCCTCAGTGTAACTTGAGTCCAGATGCCTGTCCTCACACTGGGAGGGAGTCACGCCAGCCTAACCCTGAGAGTTTCAGGCTGCATTGACTGAGATGTTTATTCAAGACAAAGGTGAGCCCTGTCCTGTTTGGTTAGAGCTTCGGCCCACAGACTGAAGGGTTACAGGTTCGATTCTTAATCAAGGACATGTACCTGGGTTATAGGTTCAATCCCCAGCCCTGGTCAGAGTCATGTGGGAAGCAACCAATCAATGTCTCTCTCTCACATCATTGTTTCTCTGTTTCTCCCTCTCTCTATGTCTCCCTCCCTCTCACTCTATCTAAAAATCAATGGAAAAATATCCTCGGGTGAGGATTAACAAAAACAACAGAAAAGACAAAGATGATTGTTTCCATGGTTGGGTGGGGTTAAACAAGGCTCCATCTATCCCTAACTCTGATAAATCAGACTTTTTAAAAATATTTTTTTCTTTGTTGATTTTAATTTTTTTTTTTATCCTCACCCGAGGACATTTTCCATTTTTTGTTCAGGTAGAGTGGAAGGGAGAGAGAGGGAGAGAGAAACATCCACGTGAAAGGGACACATTGAGTGGCTGCCACCCGCACGACCAACCAGGGCCAGGGACAAACTGCAACCAAGGTACGCGCCCTTAGCGGGAACCGAACCCGGGTCTCTCTGGACTGTAGGCCGACGCTCTAACCACTGAGGAAAACTGGCCAGGGCTCTTTATTGATTTTAGAGAGAGAAGAAGAGAGATGGAGAGAGAGATAGAAACATCCATGAGAGAGAACATCTATTGGCCACCTCCTGCATACCCCCCACCAGGGATTAGGCTCACAATTTGGGTATGTGCTCTGACCAGGAACCGAACCTGTGACCTCTTGGTGCATGGGTCGACACTCAGCCAGTGAGCCACACCAGCTGGCTGATACATCAGTCTTGATGTTTCCCCCCAAATGACTTTTTCTCTCTTTGGTCACTTATACTCCTAGCTAAACCAGAAGAAACTAGCATCTGGATGCCAGCCCAGGCCTTCAGGCATTTTGTTACGTCCCTTTTCTGTTAGTGGCATCCCCTCCATAGTGCCACTCCTCCCCACCCCAGTTCCCTTCCTCCCTCCCCACACTTCGGAAAGCCAGAGCCTCTGGGGTCTCCTTGTTTTACCTCGCCTTGGATCCAGATTGCCATATGTGATCCTAATCCTAATTTGTTTTATTGTTAACAGGACCAGAACTTTGACCTGTCAAAAAAACTGAGTGAGAACAAGATTATATGTAATGTTCTACAGAGAGAGAAAGAGAGAATGGAAAGAGAAAATGATGTAAGTATGTAAATGAGGGTAGAAACCCCCAAGATTTTAAGGGGAGGGAGCAGGTTGACCCCGGAGTATGGTGATGACATGTTAAATAAAAGAGCCTCTTCTGGGACAGTGGGGAGGCAGTGGCTCCTAAACAAAGGAACGTAATCTGGTTTGCTAATCTACCACAGATCCTCTCTGTGTTGTGTGGCAAACTTATGGCATGGCAGTAGTCAACCTGAAAGGAACACCTCTGATAAAGATCTAACTTACCACTTTTGCTTTTATCTTCACTACTGTTGTAAGTGTTGTCTTTTATGCTAGCTGAGGAACCCCTTTTATTCAGCACAATTTTTTTTTTCCCTTTGTTGATTTTTAAGAAAGAGGAAGTGAGAGGGAGAGAGAGATAGAAACATTGATGAGAGAGAACATCGGTTGGCCACCTCCTGCATGCCCCCACTGGGGATGGGGCCCACAACCTGGGCATGTGTCCTGACCAAGAATCGAACCAGCGACCTTTTGGTTGCATGGATCAATGCTCAACCACTGAGCCACACCAGCCAGACCAACACAACTTTTGCTTTTTTCTCTGCTGCCAAACCAGGAGCAGAAGTGGTGGTCTGTACAGTGCTGGACCCATGGTAGGCTCCTAATAAATGCTGTGCGTGCATTCATTCATTCATTCATTCATTCATTCATTCATTCAGCGGTTCATTTATTCGTCCAACCGATATTTATTTTCTGCTGTGTGTTAAACACAAGTTGTTATTAATTGATTAGTTGAGATGATGAGAGCAATTAAAATGGCTGCACTTGGCCCTGTCCGGTTTGACTCAGCGGTTAGAGCATTGGCCCGCAGACCAGAGAGTCCTGGGTTCGGTTCCCACCAAAGGCACGTACCTTGGTTGCAGTTTGTCCCCGGCCCTGGTTGGTTGTGCGGGTGGCAGCCACTCGATGTGTCCCTTTCACGTCAATGTTTCTCTCTCCCTCCCTCCCACTCTTTCTGAACAAAAAATGGAAAAAAAAAAATGTCCTCGGGTGAGGATAAAAAAAATAAAAATAAAAAATAAAATAAAATGGTTGCACTTGAAGTCATTCTCATGCCCTTGGGACCTAGCATTGAAGTGTGGGTAGGTGTCCATGCGTTTTAGCTACTCCTTCTAGGTCTACACCTCCAGCAGTTCCCCATCTCCACCCTCTCTGTAACCCCTATGGGCTATGCCTCCAAGTGATCGTTTCTACTTTTGATTTTACTATTTAGGCCAGTGTATTTCCGTATTGTAGAAGGCATTTGGGGTCTTTTTCTGGCCCTGTTGTTCTCATCCTCTTGATTTAGACAAGTATATACTTTGCCTTTGAAATCCCTAATTTCCTGGGATAGTCTGATGGGGCCAGGCACGGGTAGAGAGGGAGTGTGCACATAATTTACCACAAGAAGGAAAAGGTCTAATATTTAAAAGCTTTTTTAAGAACTATAGTAAAGTCCTCTTAAGATGTGGAGGGGCAGTATACTAATTTTCTCTTTAAAGAACTTCTTTTATTTATTATTATTATCTTTTTTTTTTATCCTCACCCGAGGACATTTTTCCATTTTTTATTCAGATAGAGTGGGAGGGAGAGAGAGGAAGAGAGAGAGAGAAACATCAACGTGAAAGGGACACATCGAGTGGCCACCACCTGCATGACCCAACCAGAGCCGGGGACAAACTGCAGCCAAGGTACATGCCCTTAGCGGGAACCAAACCCGGTCTCTGTGGACCGCAGGCCGATGCTCTAACCGCTGAGCCAAACCCTCCAGGGCTAAAGAACTTTCATTGCTGTCTGTCCACCTTGTAGCTTATTCTCTCTCTCATCCCCTCCCTTCCTCTCTTCCTTCTCCCTCTCATTCTCTCTATTGGTATATCCATAGGATAAAACATGAAGAAGGGAAAATTATATCAGATGAATATTTACATTGTGTAAGAAAATTGTTCTAGTAAGGAGACTAAAAAGAAGCATTTTGTTCTCAATAAAGTACAATTTCAATCTTAACATAGCTCCTAAGAGCCTCATATCTGCATACAATTTTTGTACCTCCTTCAGTTGGTAAGTATTTAGAGATTTTAAATTCTTTTTACATTAATCTAAACAAAATTTGGTATGTATTTAAATTCAGATACTAAGAACCTTCAGGTCTTCAAAGTACAGAGGCTGCTGCTTCTCCTTTTGAAGAATCATGATTTATCATTTCCTGGGCTCTTCCACTGCAACACTGTTAATTAAGAACTACCTGGCCTGGCCAGTGTGGTTCAGTGGTTGAGCGTTGACCCAGGCACCAAAAGGTCGCCAGTTCAATTCCCGGTCAGGACACATGCCCAGGTTGTGGGCCCAATCCCCAGTGGGGGGCATGCAGGAGGCAGCCAGTCGATGTTCTCTCCCATCAATGTTTCTATCTCTCTCTCCCTCTCCCTTCCTCTCTTTCTATAATATCAATAAAGAAAATAAAATGGCCCTGGCTGGTTTGGCTCAGCGGTTAGAGCGTTGGCCCACGGACCAGAGAGTCCCAGGTTCGGTTCCCACTAAGGGCACGTACCTCAGTTGCAGTTTGTCCCCTGCCCTGGTTGGGGTTGTATGGGTGGCGACCAGTCGATGTGTCTCTCTCACATCGATGTTTCTCTCTCTCTCTCTCCCTCCCATTCTATCTAAAGATAAATGCAAAAAAAAAAAAAGTTTTTTTAAAAGAAGAACTACCTGTAATGGGCACCCTTTTGCCAGTTTTTTTGTGGCCATTCTTTGTTCTTTTCTTTTAATATGTTGCTATAAATCTTCTATCCTTAGCTTTTGAAGAGGGAGAACAGCAGATTAATGAGTTACATGGGTCTGGACTTTGACTCCCTGCCATGTCAGGCACCTGCTTCAGACCAAGGAGGTACAGGACAAAACCCAGGACTTGTCTACGGAAACCCATATTCTGGTAAGACAACTTTGCCATTCAAGCTGAAAGAACCCTGCCTACGTCCCTTTCCCCACTAAATTTTTCTGTGTCTGAGATGCTAATTAAGACCAGTCTCATTGTTAAGACTTGCTGGGCAGAAGCTGAGGACCCAATAGAAAGATTGCCAGGCGAGAAGTGTTAATTGAGAAATAAATCTGAATCTAGAAGACGCAAATCAGATCATTCTCCTAGAGGCAGAGACACAAATTGAGTCCCGTGGCTATATTCCAGATGTATAAATCAGGGAAATGTCTCCGTGTAGAAGATATACACATACAAAGCTGAGGAAGCTAGTTAAGGTTTGGAAATGGAAGCACAAGAGGCGGGTGATGCCAGCCAGTACTGGGAGTTAACAGCAGCCATCCAATGGCCTGACCGAGGGGAGCAGGAGGTGCTCTACAGAGACCCCTGAGTATTTTGGAGGACAGGAAACAGGAATGAGAACCACGCTCATCACTCGTGGACCAGAGGTCAGATGTCCTTGCAAACAGGGAACTTTTCCTCTTTTGTCTTCAAAAGTGATCTGAGACCTCATTTGCTTTTTTGGACAGTTCAAAGCAATCACGTTCTCTCAAGAGTCACAATCAGTTCTTTGCCACAGGCAGGGGGTACAAGTTAATTTTTTCTTTTAAAAATATTTGTAAGCCCTTTATTTGAAAAATAACTATGTGGATTCAGTCTTAAAATCTATTCTCAGGCTGTTCCCTTGTGAAATTGTTATTGTTTTTATTAAAATCTCAGTTTCCACCCACTGGAAATAGGTTGTTTTTGATTATGTAACATACATGGCTATTGAAAAGGCCATGTCATTATTTTTTCCTTTTTTCCCTTATCATTGACCTAGATCCCCTCTATCAGAAGTAAATGGTTTATAAAAGAGAGAGAGTCAGAGGCAGTGGGGAAAAGGGAACAATGAGGGTTACAGAAAACAACCGCGAGGACACATTTGGAGATCCAGGGATGATGTTTTTTCATTGAATGAAATCTTTCTTTCTTACCCTCAGGAATCCAAGAAAGTTCTGCCCCCAGCCTGGTAAGTATTTTGAATCATGAGAGTAACCACATCAAATCCTTGATAAAATGTCCCTTCCTGCTCCATTTCATGGGGGAACCATAAGGAAAGTGGTTCATTTGGTAACTCCGGAAGTCAGCTGGGTCAGTTCGTTCCGAGCCTAAAGCTGGACGACAAGCCTGTTGAGGTGGGAGAGGAAAGCACAGTTTATCCGTCAACATCCTGCTCAAGATCTCCATTGTGAGTTGAGTTTAGTAGCAGGATTAGGAAGGGGGTGTGCACTAGGCAGCTAGCCAAACAAGGTATGTCCAGTGCCCCATCCAGGCTGGAAGCTATTTGACTGCTCAGCAATATTAGGTCCTTTCAGTCCTGGGGTTAGAGGAAGCCCCAGTGAGTCCCTCCAAATGTGAACTTGTTCATTCGTCCTCTATATCTTGAGCACCTACCATGTGCCAACCATTATGCTAGATGCTGAGGATAGTGGAAAGTAGACAGACACAGTCTCTGCCACACACAGCTTACGTTTTTACTGACCTCTTTGTTCTTCCTCCCAGCTCTCCGTCAAGAAATGCGCCACCTGCAAGTCAGACTTTGCTGATGACATTTTTGATCACACCTTGGAGCAGCAGCTCGTTCAGACCCTTTATTTGAATTGTCCAATTTGTGACAAGAGTTTCTCAGCAAAAGAAAAGCAAATCTTTGAAGACCATGTGTTCTGCCACAGTCTATAAGTGTCTGAGCCTCTTTGAGCCTCTTGGATCTATATACATAGATTTTACAGAGTAGAACCTATAGCTTCTACTATGAGTTATGACACAAGATCCTGCCTACCCTGAAATTAGGGATTTACTCAATTCTGCTGCCCTAAAGGTAGAATCATGTCAATAATCTAGCGGGGGTGTGGAACCTTTTCTCTGCCAAGGGCCCTTTGGATATTTATAACATCATTTGCAGGCCAGACAAAATTACCAACTTAAAAATTAGCCTGCTCTGTTTGGTCAGGCTAATTTGGTGAGGCGTGCGATGTTAACTGGTATTGATTTTGCAGGCCTTATACAGCCCGCAGGCCAGGCGTTCCCCACCCCTGGAGGGCTGTTACTTCCATCTGGGTGGGTTAACACCTTTTTAATCATATAAGGCTAGCTGTGTCAGCCTCTTATCCACGAAGCCCCTTCTCCCAAGGGTCTCTGGTGCAAGGGCCCTGGGATGGAAGTGACCGGCTCTTCACAACAGGCCTGACTAAAGTACAAAGTGATTAGTTTTCCAAGTTGTCCTACAGCTATTCAAGGTCAGGCCTTGAGTATATTTGTACTCGGTCCTCAGTCCTACCCTTGGGGCTGGAGATTGACCAGAGGTTGAGAATTTCTTTCTCCTCCTCTTCAGGCCTATCTCCAGCTGATTGCATTTAGACTATTCAAAAATGTCATGGCAGAGAACTCAGGCATCCAATTTGGATAGCAAAGGTTTCTCATCTTGATTTCTCAGCTCCTAATAGAAGCATCTTATTCCTGAATCATGGACATGAAATATTATTTCAATTACAGAAAGCCTTCTTTTGCTCTGGCTGCCTCTGATTGGCATTTTCTACTCTTGGATCTTTCCTATGCACATAGATTTTATTGTTGTAAGTCCTTTTTTGCAGTTAGTAGGAGCTATTGGAGACTGTATGGGTTTGCAACTTTCCAAGCTGGTGAGTTTCAGCATGGATGAGTCAGAACAATGAGAACTAATGTTAATTTCTTTAATACTAAAAATAAAGTCCTCTTTTTCAGAAACTTCGGTAATTTAAAATAAACCTTGAATTTATGGTCTTTTATTTTTAAGCTTGTGAGAAAAGTGTAGTAAAAAGGTTTATGGGAATTATGGACCTCAACAATGATTTCTGCTTACCTGTCTTAACTAGTCAACAGAATAGTTTCCTGGCAGTTATTTTGAGGTGAAGAAGAGGTGATGAAGCATGAGTCTGACAAATCTAGAACCCTGACTTTGTGCTCTAACTTTTCATGCATTTTTTGAAAGGGGTCAGGCAGTATGGAATTTGGCACTTTAAAAAAAAAATTCTTTATTAACTTTTAGAGAGAGAGAAAGAGAAACATCAATGAGAGAGAACACTGATTGGCCACCTCCTGCATGCTCCCCACTGGGGATTGGGCCCACATCCTGGCTCTGACCAGGAATCGAACCAGTGACCTTTTGGTGCATGGGTTGATGCTCAACCACTGAGCCACACCAGCCAGGCTGGAATTTGGCACTTTTGTGAACTAAGTTCAATTCTCTCCATCCAGACTAATTGAACTATAAGAAAGTATAGTTCCATGTTTCTCTCCCCATGTTTCTCTCTATTTGCTCAGAGACTGAACAAATAGAAATGACTCCCAGGCAATCAACCTGCAGGTCACTATAGAGACTTTTACTTAAAGTTTTGAATGATGAGAAATGTGATGTGGTGGATAAGGATGAGCCAACTAGAGCTGCATTCCTTCTGGGGTTTTCCCTGATATGATTGGAATTATGCCCCCGAACTATGTTGTCCCAGTCACAGCTGTTTGCCTTTATTTCTCCCTTGATAAAATGAAGATGGAGCCCGGCCACTGTGGCCCAGTGGTTGAGCACTGACCCATGCACCAAGAGGTCGCTGGTTCGACCCCCGATTGGAGCACATGCCCAGGTTGTGGGCCAAACCCCCAGTGGGGAGCATGCAGGAGGCGGCCAATTGATGTTCTTTCTCTTGTTGATGTTTCTATCTCTCTCTTCCTCTCCCTTCTTCTCTCTCTAAAATCAATTTTTAAAAAAATGAAGATGGAGTTACGTATACTATCACTTCTTCTGTATCATCATTTCAATAAGATGTCTCTGGGGCTCATAAGCTTTTTACCCCTTAAGAGTCAGATGTGACATTAAGACTAACTCTAGAATAGAAATGTAATGGGGAGATGATAGTGTAGGTTTTCTAGCACATACCCTTCCTCCTGCAAAATTTCTGTAGCTCCCCAGATCGTTCCAGTGAAGAATTGCAGTTTCACTCATTCTGTACTAGTCAGCTCTTGATTAAGCACGTGCCTGGAGAGGAGCAGTATTGCACACAATTCAAATCTGACTACCATTTTCTGGTGACTTACCAACCCTTTGCCCCCGCCTCCACCGAGGGTTTACCATGATAGTCAACAGCAGCAGCAGCCCTTCCAAAGGCTCCATTAAGAAAAAGTTGAGGTGTTAATGATTCTTTTCGCTGGATGTGAAATAAAACATCTTTAACCACTGTTCATTATCCCCAGCTGCTCTTACTAAGGCTTTGAAGGGGGATTATGCTCCAGGCAACTACTAGTAGTAAAGGAAATGATCATTCTTACATAATCTACTTCTCACACAGCCGTTCCCCTCCACACCTCTGGCACCCACATGTTTTATAGCTGTAAAATATCTGCAAGCCCTGGCCGGTTTGGTTCAGCGGTTAGAGCATCGGCCCGTGGACCAATGAGTCGTGAGTTCGATTCTGGTTAAGGGTACGTGTCTTGGTTGTGGTTCGTCCCCTGCCCTGGTCAGGTCATGCGGGAGGCAACCAGTTGATGTATTTTTCTCTCCCTCTCTCCCACTCTGTCTGATGGTAAATGGGAAAATATCCTCAGGTGAAGATTTAAAAAAAGAAAAAAGATAGCAGGAAGTTATGGGAGCAAAATAGTATTTATATCTAAATTAGATTTTAAAATCTTTGTATGTACATAGAAGACAATTTCTTCTATGGCAAATTTTCCTTCCTAATTTATTTTCTCTTGGTCTAACATTAAAATATTTTTATATTACCATAACATACTTACTTGATGCGCAGTAGGAAAACGTCATCCTAGCACACTGAGTGTGAATGGTGGGGAAAAGTTAACCTAAAATCAGAAAAAGGAGAATTAGAGAGATATTCGGTAAACCTAGGCCCCTAAGAACACCTGTAGCTTCAGCCCTTTTCCCTGTCCTTGCTAAAAACTGAGATGAAATGAAATTGCCTTAATGTTTAAATATCGTTCTCCTATGATTTTCTACAGTAGCAATGGATTACTCTGAGCTAAGCATTCTCTAACCTGGTCTCCCCGCAACAAATATTGATGATAGGCTGGGGCTAAGTGAGACAGTCCATCACCTAGGAAAAAAGCAAAATGGACTTAACATAGAGATCAAACCCAAAATGATACCTAATTCCCCTGAGATAAACAACAATAGGCCACACGCTCAGGGAAGCCACACTGGCCCCAGTCCTCCCCTTAGTTATCTCATATAAATCTGAAAATAATGTCCTCACATACATGTAGTACTTCACAGTTTAGAATGTAGTTCAAATTTTTATAGACGAATAAGTTGAAAGAAATCACTTGCTGAAAATGGAAACAACTACCCTGGCCGGTTTGGCTCAGCGGTTACAGCATTGGCCTACGGTCCCGAGAGACCCGGTTCGGTTCCCGCTAAGGGCACGTACCTTGGTTGCAGTTTGTCCCCAGCCCTGGTTGGGTCGTGCGGGTGGCAGTCACTGGATGTGCCCTTTCACATCGATGTTTCTCTCTTCCTCTCTTTCCCTTCCACTCTATCTGAACAAAAAAATGGAAAAGTGTCCTCGGGTGAGGATAACAGAAAATAAAATAAATAAAAATGAAAACAACCTAAATGTCCATCAGTTTATGAATGGATAAATAAAAATGGTATATTTATACAATGGGATATTATTTAGCAATAAAAAGGAATGAAGTACTGATATATGTCCTAACATGGATGAGCCTTGAAAACATGCTAAGTGAAAGAAGTCAGACACAAAAAAACCATCTATTGTATGATTCCATTTATATGAAATGCCCAGAACAGGCAAATATTCTATAGACACAAAAGTGACTCGTGTTTTCCTAAGGCCAGGGATCGAGGGAAATGGAAAGTGAAATGTGCTGTGGAGATGGTTGCACAACTCTGTGAACTACTAAAAACCACTGAATTTATACTTCCAATGGGAGAATTGTATGCTACGTGAATTATATCTCAGGTTCTTATATTATTAAAAAGGTTTTAAAAAACAACTTGCTAAGGTCATACATTGGCTCGTGGTAGGCTATCTTAAATACAGATACCATACAGAACAAGTTCAACACTGTTGAGTTGGGTTTAGAATATACTTATCTCAGTATAACCCACTGCCACAGCAGGGTTCCCCCATGTCGGGCTGGAGACAGCAGCTTCAGCTATGATTAACAGGGTCGGGGCAATTAGTGGCCGGCAGTGTTAGTGGTCTCTGGGAATATCTATTCTGTGGAGATGAATGTACCCAATAAAGTTGGGGGAGTCACCAGCCCACAAATCCCAGGTAATCATATTAAGGGATCCAGCCTGCTCTGTCTAATGTTATTACTTTCTTGCTGTGGAAAGAAAGAATATGACACTCCAGGGGACTAAGTCTATTGTTCACTCAGTCCATCAACATTTACTGAGCACCCATAGAGTGCAGAACTAGTATAGAACCAGGATTACAAAAATAGAAGACAACTCCTTCCTTTGAGAGATCTACAAGATTAATGAAGACATTCTCTCTCTCCCCCTCAGGGAACTCTCAAACTGCTGGGGGAGAGAGTCTGTTTTCAGGGGTCTCCTACTCTGATGGAGAAAGAGATAGCCATCCATGAAAGCAATTTGAGGACACAAAGATAAGGGAAGTCTTCTTGCAAACGGAGAACAGAGCTACGGGACCTAACGGTTAAGGTGTAATCAAAGCCCAAGTTAATGATGTCTTATAAGAGTGTGCTTTGGAAGAGGTTGAGGGACAGAAATAGCAGATAAAAATGGGGAGGGTAGCATGGCCGGTGTGGCTTAGTGGATTGAGTGTCATCCCATGGACTGAGAGGTCCCGGTTCAATTCCTAGTCAGGGTACATGCCTGGGTTGCAGGCTCAGTCCCTCGTGGGGGCACATGGGAGGCAGACATGGATGTTTCTCATTCTCTCTCCCTTCCTTTCTC